TGAACCAAGTTGATGTTTGGTACACAATGGTGAAAATTCTGTATTTCTTTTATTCTATTCAAAATCCCTGACAATTCTTTGTGTAGGAGGCAGAAGTCGCAATGAAGGCTCTGATTCTCAAAAAATAAGAGACCCTACTTCATCAGGGATCCTGCTGATCACACTGGAGAACTTTAGCATAAGGCAGATGGCACAAAAAACATTTAAATTTTGTGCGATTTCTGCATTTTCCCTTTTTCTGAGAGTCCAGAAACGTTACCTCTTTAAATAATGGGGAAAAACTGTACTATGGTTCACTGAGATACAAGGAGACTTGGATCTTAGAAATATTGAGTTATGCTACACAAAACTACCCAATGACAACCTCCAGACAGAACTAAAAACAGTACCCTCAGTTTGCATCTAGCAAGGTTGTTTCTTCTCTCTGCTTATTCAGTAACCACGCAAGCTTTCCTAAACTGCTTCTGTACTGCCACCTGCTGCTCAAACTGTTGGTCTCCTAGACAATCGTTAGAAGAAAAATGGGTTTCCATACCCCAACAAAATGTAGCTAGTACTAAGCGCTGTGAAACAATTCTGCAGTCTCTTGGTAGGTGTGTTTGCAATAAGAATAGCTACTTAGAAAAAGGTAAAGAGATATGCAATGATATATTAAAACTCATCAAAATAACCAACCAATAGATGATAAAGTGGAATAAAGGCTTTTCAAAGCCCCTTTTAAAAGAGTTAAATTTTGTAGCTAGTCCATATGTGAATTAGGGCTGTGTGAAATTGAGCTGGCTGTTTCATTTCGACACTATTTTGACTAATTTCGAGCTCGAAACAGCGAAATTGAAACGAAATGAAGGACTTTGAAACAGACTTGAAACAAAATGAAGGCAGTCGAAACGTTTCAAAAGTTTCAAAACATTTCGAGTTTTGAAGCAGCTAGCCAGGTGGTAGGAGACAGGGGAGAACCAGGGTTGCACTTCCAGTGGCTCCACAGCCCCATGTGGCTCGCCCCGCGAGGAGCGGCCCCCCGGCCTCTCCCCCCCCCCTGCCACTGAGCTGTGCTTCAATTGGCTCTGCCAGCCCCATGGAGCTCACGGAGGCAGGCAGAGCCAGGGCACTGTGCTCTGCCTCCCGCCACTGGACTGAATTCCACGGGGCTACAAGAAGCCGATCACAGCGCTGGGGAACACAACCAGGCTGAGTTCCCAGCTCAATCACAGTGAATGCTTCCCCAGCCTGATTGAAACGTTGAAACAACGAAATGGAACGGAACAGTGCTTCCAAAATGAAACAAAAGTCAAAACAAAACACTGTTCTGTCAAAACGTCAAAACGGATGTCAAAGCAGAACGCTGCTGTTTCACACAGCCCTAATGTGAATCACATATAGCATGCATGACATTTACAACAAGAAATTTGTACAACATGAGCTTCCTAAGGAATTCCTCTGATCTCAAGGCAAATATCTTCTGGGGTAATAAATTAGTTAACATTTCAGCTGGCCATTTTTAGAAATAAACAAGCTGCTGTAGGAAAATACCCAGATTCAAGTTATTACATTCCAGCTGCTTCTTATGCTCAAATAATGTAATAGAAGTTCCCCTTAAAAATTCAGATTCGATTAATACCTAATTCTCAATAATAACAAATACCACTGACAAGTTGAAAATCTAAGTATCTTCCAAGTAAGGTTTCATACTTAAAATGATGGAGTGTACATTTTCAACACAGTGCTTCCTTACCAACATTTTAATATTCTGATATGGAAAGCCATAGTCACAAAGTTATAAAGAAAACCCAAGAACTGATAAAAACTGGGATAAAGCAGGCTATTTACTGACTGCATCTTCTAACATTTGAGAGCAGCGTTTCTCAACTTGTGGACTGAGACACAAAAGTGGTTTACAAGAATATTTGAAAGGGTTGCAAACAAACTTTAAAAATGGATTCTCCTTTAAAGGAGGAAAAAACAACTTTGGAAACCATGGGTTTTCCTTTACAGGCTGGCAGAGTTCCAGCCTGCAAGGGGCTGCTTGGGACCCCCCATGCTCCACACACTCGGGGACTGGGGCTAGTGAGCCAGGAGTGAGGGGCTACAGCAGGGCCAGAGGGCTGTTTTATTTTTAAACTATTTACTGGCTTGGCACTGGCCACCCATGTCTACAAATGGGTCCTGGTACAAAAAAAGTTGAAAACCACTGTTTTAGAGCAATGGTTGCACAGAGTAGAACTCACATATGAGTGAGTTAAGATTAAGATATGGAGAATTTTATCTCATGGAAAACAGAATGAGTAAAGTCAGACTATTTGCAACCGATTCCTTCATCTGAAATACTAGCAGAGATACTAAGGACTAAAAGGTTAATTTCTACAGTCCATTCTCCCACTGCTAGCAGTGGCTGCTTCAGAACTGGTTTGATATGTACTGCTAGTAGCTTTCACTTTCCAATAGCTAAGATGAATCCAGGATGTGTATAAAAGATTCTAATTGGTGGTTATGTACGTTCAGTACACTTGACCACTATTGCACAAAGCAGGACAACAGCCACTCAACATGTTATGTTCTGTTTTGCCAATCTCTTCTGAAAAAAATGGGACTAAAACCTGAGAGACTGGTCTGCTCTATATACATTTTAAAGTTCTATTGTACTTTTAATAAAAGTTGGAATTTGTCTTCATCTAGAATGAACTTCAAGGTAAATTTTCTGAAGCACTCACTCAAAGTAGGCCTATTTCTCATCTTATTAAAGCCAATGAGAGTTTTATTGTGGTCTTCAATGGAAGCTAAGTTAGGTTGACAGTCTTCTTGGGAATCTCTCCCTCAATGGCAACTTTGTACCAAATTACATGGCATCTTTCAGACAAGGACTGCAGAGTTCTTTAGAAAGGTGGGGGACACTGTTGTCATTTCCTGGCTGGAAAAGCTAAGGCACAAAAAAGTGACTTGACTTGCCCCCACACACCGAACAATTCGGGAAAACAATCAGAAACAGCATTCAGTTCTCCCAGACTCCTATTTCAATCACTTACCAACACTGTTTCCCAATCCCCTCTCTTTCAGCTCCATGGCTATATTGAGTTTATGTAGACGCTGCACTATATTCCATATATGGAAACATTTCAAGGTGCTCCACATAGTTTGGGATCACTTTGGGCTCCATTAAGGACAGCCAAATTTCCAGCCCATGGGGATGCTGGATGACATGGCCCCATATGGTGTTGCACATGCACATAGGGTTGTCATTCCAGGGCTGGATCTGGTGGGTGGAACAAGGACAGTGCACCAGATCACACCCCAGGACTGACTCTGTGCTGGATCAGGCCAGAAGACTGATCCCATTCATGGGATCTGGCCCATGAGGCTAGAAGATTGAGCACTACTACTTTAGGATTGAAAAGCATTACCAAAAATCTGTGTTAACTGAGGTTTTAAAAAAGAATTATTCCAAAGCACATGATGTTTATACTGTACCTGTCTCCTTCAGGGATGTCCTCAATATTTCCAAAGCCAGGAGCTGGCATAGGACACCCCATGTGTGTGAAATGAGCTATGTGGGGTTCGGGAGCTTTCGCTTTTCCGTGAGATTTTCGGTGCTCTCTCTCAGCTTTCATTCGTTCATTTACCTTGTCACAGACGAAACACTCAAAGCCATTCAGGTAATTTGGCAGAGTCATATCATTCACTCCCCACTCTCGTGACTTCAGGCTCTGCACCAGAAACTGGTTTTTAATGCCTCCTGGCTTCTTATACTCTAGGTATTTCAAGTATTCCTCCCCATTCCTGTCCAAGAAGTGAAGGTACTCTGCTAGCTCTTGGGGGCTTCCAAAATCATCCACAAGGATGATGGAGAGGTTATCAGGCATCCAGTCCCGCACAGATGGGGACCCTCGATACACAGGGATGGCTCCCACATGCAGTGGACGCCACAGTTTTTCTGTTATGTAGTCATTGCATATTGCATTCTCCATGGCCAGGTGGAACTTGTACCTGGAGATAAAGGTCATGAATTCAGAATCCTCTGTTGTGGCTGTAGAAGTGTCTGTCAGCCTCTCGCTGGGAAGCTCTCGGTTATGCAGGCATTTGCCGTAGGAGTCTACCTAAAATAGTAAAGGTCATCTTTACAAAAGTAACTTTTCTGTTTGTTTCAAGCTTGTTTTCAGTGTGCCCAGGGTGGGTAGGTTTCTTTTAGAATTCCTTCTAAACAGGTCTTAAGAGTCTAAGTCACTCTTTCACTCCAGCTTCTTCCTTCTCAACAAACAGATTTAACAAAAACATTCTAATGCATCTAAAATTCATTGGAGCATCCTATTTCCCTGTTTTTTAATCTTTACCCCTTCTTCTAGGGCATCTACTCTTCCTGCAAAAGATACAAAGATCTCCCAAAGTCAATGATAATTTCTTGTTTCTTACAACAGAACTATACCTCAAATATTTAATCACAACCGACAGACAAGAGAAGCAAAAAACAACTTGGAGATGCACAGCCCTTAGGAAAGGGTAAGTTTATTAGGGGCCAATTCAGTAAAACGTTTACACATGGGAGGATGCAGGACTTGCTTTTTTGTTACTTTGAAGTTTTTCTTACTACATAAAACGTAGATAGTACTTTTCCTTTCTAAAGTGTTGTATGGACATTAATCAATCTATGTTACACCCTTTTGGGGAAGGCTGGCAGGTGAAAAAGTTTCAACTTTTAAAAGTGATGATAACCAATAGAGAAGTTAAAAAGGTACAGTCACTTGAAGAGCCAGTCATACTCAATAACCAAGTTAAAAGCTGATGCAGGCACTTTAATCTGACCTGAGTCCACCAGGTAATTTTGTATTTTTACAATTAGTTTCCTATTTCTGTTGCTTCCTCTGGCTCAGTGATTCTCAACCAGGGTGAAAGCAGGATAAATTTGCACCTTTACAGACTAATTAACCTATATATTTGTATCTCTCTATAGATATCTATATTCTAATACTAGCCAACTGCAGGGCACAGTGGCAGTGCCCCACCACTGCTGGGCCCTGAAAACAGCTGGGAGGGAGGGAGGGGGTTGCACATGGCCAGACATGCAGCGGTAACAGTGTGACGCACTGAGGGGGGGCAGCAGGGCACACGCAAGGCTGGAGGCAGAATGGTGGCAGTGCTGGGGGTGGGTGGTGGCACTCTATCCCCGCCCACCCCTCCTCCCCCATCATTCTTGATGGGCAATTAGCTAGTATCTATATATGAGAGAGAGAGAGAGCGCGCACACAAACTTTTGTGAACCCAGGTTCACTTCATCAGGCACTACGAAAGCATTTCAGTCAGGGTACTACAGGGAGCATGAGAAGCAAATAAAGGCAGGCTCTCCCTGCCTGGCTGCTCCCCCACCCCGACAGCCTGGCCCATGGGGAGATTCAAGGAGGGTGCTGCAGTGCACTTGCACCCCAATTTGATTCCAGCTCCACCCAAAGTTTAAAACCAACTGCCTGGAAGCAGGAGTTCTAGTCAGGCAGGTGGGATACAGTCAGGGAAGGGGAGAAGGTCCACAGAAAGGCAACAAGGATAATTAATGGCATGGAAGGGCTTCCACATGAGGAAAAACTAAAGAGGCTAGGCTTATTCAGTTTAGAAAAGAGATGCTTGAGCAGGGACGTAAGGGTTTACAAAATACTAAATGGTAAAGAGAAAATAAATAGGGATTTATTATTTACTCTCTCTCACAATACAAGAACTAGGGGTTACAAAATGAAACTAGTAGGTAGTTTAGTTTAAATCTAGCAAAAGGAAGTTCTTTTTCACACAACACGTCATTAAAGTATGAATCTCATTGCCACCAGATGTTGTGGAAGCTGATGGTTTAGCCAGATACAAAAAGGGACTGGACAACTTCTTGGAGGCAAGCAGCATTAGTAGTTGTTGAGCACAGGTGTGAGGGATACAGCCTCTGAATTAGGACTTCCTAGACCTTGAATGCTAGAAACTACAAGTAAGAGAGGAACAGTGGAAAAAAACCCTGGTTATACCCAGCTCCCTCTCCCTTTCAGCATCCACTCTCTGCCGCTGTGCGACACAGGGTTTTTGTGTCATGGACATTTCTGAGTCTAGGTCTGAATCCAAACAGATCTCGCTTGCCTTTGGCTTTGTGGCTTTCAGTTTTCTTAGCACTGCCTGGATGCTGGGCAAACCCCACACTGGACAATGGTGAGTCCCCTCGCAATACCTTGTTAAGCTCTTCATCCTTGCAGATAGCCAGCTGGAAGTGGCAGGGGATGATGCAAGTTTTCTTGTTGCAGGCAGCATTTCCAGCTAATTCAGGATTTCAGTCATCAGGCACTCCATCACTGTAGCCAAACAGACTGGGCCTGAGCTCCCACTCACTCAGCATAATTGCCCTTGCAAAGCAGATGGGGCACCTGGCCTACAGGGAACAGGAACTGTAGCTGCCTGGGAAGACCTAGACTTGGCATTAGTCTGGACCTTCCCTCCCTGCTTCCCAAAGCTGGACATAATTTTTGCTCTTAGAGAACCACAGAGAAAAGTCAGGCTGGGAGGGACTTCCACAGATCATCAAGTCCACGACCCTGCCTGAGGCAGGATTGTTCTAATCTAAACCATCTCATACAAGCCATAATCTAAACTCTGCATAAAACGACTGTCAACCCTGATGCAACACCAACCTGGTACCTTAACCTGCCATGGGCACAGAGGGGGAACCAGGGAAGCCCATATCCCGTTTCTGTGAAATGTTGATGCCAGGCCTTTTGATGAGCCATTCTGGATGGTGGTTGGTGGACAAAGCCCACCAAATTGAGCTATAAGCTCCCCTTGGTGATGGGGGCCGTGCAGGGCACACTTGGGATATCCTTGATTACAGCAATGGCAGCAACAGCCACAGGTTCATAACCAGTGCACTGAGGGGGGCACCAAGCAGAGCACACCAAACATTGCCTGCTGGCCCTGCAATGAGTCCAAGGAGCCAGCAAACAACTGCCAGAAATAGGACAGCACCAGGGTCGGTAAACAGCCCCCATCCTCCCACCGGGATGCCAGGACGTTGCACCAGGCACTTGATACAGGAAGCCTGAGCCTGCCCCTCAGGCTTTCCTCGCCTCCTTACACTGAGCGAGGCCCTTTTGCAGCCTCCGAAGTGGCGAGCCCAGGCTGGCAGACAACTCACCTGGATGTAGTTCATGAGCTGGTGCACGTAGCGGTCGCGGTCGGCGGGCACGTCGCAGTGGGACTGCAAGTAGAGCACGGGCCCGTAGCCGCGCTGGCGCCAGCTCTCCTTGTCGGGCAGCGGCAGCGGCTCACGGCGCAGGTAGGCCAGGCTCGCCAGCCACTGCAGCGTGAGCGGGTAGTGCGACTCGCGCCGGAACGTAGCCGTGTAGTTGAAAAGGCGGATGCCTGGCGCGTGCGACAGCGCGTAGTTGTTCATGGGCGACTCCTCGTGGAACAGCGCCCAAGCCTGATGCGGCAGGCGCGGCAGCGGCGCCTCGTAGGCGCGGAAGTCGGTGCCGTAGAAGAGCAGCGCCCGTGTGCGCCGCTGCCGCCACACCTGGCGCCGCCGCGTGGCCAGGCATGAGCCGCGCGGGCAG